CTGTACTTTTCCTCTCTGTTCTCAGTTCTCACTAATTCCTTGTCTTTGGGACTCCTATGCCATTAATCAAATTCTTTATTGGAAAATCGGCCCTCTGCCCCATTGTTCTACCATTTGAAATCGCAAAATTTATAACTGCACAACGAATTTTCGAAAAAAATTTAAATGCAAGTTTAGAGCTACCGTTTTTTATTAAAGCTAAACAGGGGAATAATCGATCCTGGAGTTGAACAACGGAAAAAGGGATCAAACGAAATTTTGCAGCTAAAAAATTGAAATTATAGCATCGAATAGCTTGTAAGGTTCTCGAAATATTAAACATCGAACAATTTTCCCAAAGTTCACTGTGTATGACAGTATAACTCATTGCGTAAAAGCATCTTTAGGCTTGATATTAAAAATGTCTCGATTTTCAGGTTGTAATGACAGATTATGCCGTATTAAACCGCCTTCACGCAGAAAACAACTTTTTTTAAATAAAATGAAGGGTTATTTTTAGGTGGTGGGCTACAGTAACCATTGTCATTGGTCGTTCATTTACTTATGTGGTTTGCCAAATGTACCAGACAAGGGCAACCCACATAGTTTTAAGAACATTTTGTCCAATATGAGATGATCACAACGCGTACTGATCAGGCTACCCTTTCGTACCCCTTTATTGCGCATACAACTGTTTACGATGATCGTGTAATTAGCAGAGGATTATGTCCACTATACGCTTTCCAGCTCTAGCCCCGTTCTTTTCGAAGTTTCAAGATGCATTTACACAAGAAGTATTTCTACGTTGATGAGTGGACTTTTTAAACTATCATAAGCGGATTGAAGTTAGATAAATTAACCCTCGATGACATTCGTTGCAAGGTAATTATTGTACGAATATGTTACATGTTAGGGCAGGCAAATTTGTGAAATTTCAATTTAAATATTTCGAATCCGCGTGGAAAGTTAAAAGTATCATTTAATAACCTCTCCTTTGTGCTAACGATAATAGAGGCGCATTTGAGAAAATTTTTAGTATTATGCGATGAAAAGAAATGCTTTATGACGGAAATCTTTTAGCGGCATCCGTGGAGTTCAAAGTCCTCGACGCATGCAGATTTGTCAAATCCTCAGATTTAGCGTGCAATGGTCGGTTTCCTAGCAACATGGGAGTCAATTGTTCTGGCGCAGGTGTCCAATCAATAGCACCTGGAAAGCTGCAGTAAACATTATTTAGGGAACACCGACTCTACGGTTGTGCCTGTAGACAATGTGACGCCGTTATACTTTCATCTCTTTATCTACGCCTTGCATTGCAAATGTGTAGGTACCTACTAATTAGCACAGGTAATTACAATTAGCTTACGCCAATGAGCTGATGAAGTGATAACTATAGATACTATAAACGGCGTTTCGGAACGTTTCTTTTTGTTAATCCATTTATCACACCCGATCGGCTCTATTGTCACCAGTTTTCAAAAGGGAATTTGTTACCACGACAATATCGCACAAACGATCTACTTATCTTCTGGCAAACATACGCAGTTATCCCAAATGGTTTCTGGGAAGAGCCAATTTCCATCATATTTCCTTGTATATTCTTACTAACTATAACCTGTGGAAATATATCTACTATAGACGACGGACGCAATTTTAGGATATGAGTAAAGCTCTTGTAGTCACATAGGTATACTGCATATAGTTACCATTTTAATTGCATCTGTAAAATTAAGTTTTAGATTTAGACAGAGATAATTTAATTAAATGAATTCATTTCTCTTCGCGAATTAGTGCTACAAGTAATAATTCGAGATACGCCGAAAATATCATCACATCAGAAAGAATGAAGGAAACATTTCTTCAGACTACGACCACTCTTTGGCATAATCAAGCAAAACGATTTTTGGCGCATTTCCACAAAAATTGTGGCCCGTTTGTTCCCGTCTGTCCGTCCCTACGGATGGGTCACTACTAGATCTTTACCTAGAGCTAATGTTTTATGGTTATAGAAAAAAATCAATTTATTTCATGTAACTAGGATAATGTTACCCTTTGGCCGTTTATTGTGCTTATAAATTCTATAGGCTAAGATGCTTCTTATAAAATCAAATTGAAATGACGTGTCAAACAGTAGGTTTTGCGTGCACAGTGGTAACTTTCTTATTTGTGAACCGATTCTTTTCTGAAATTTGAAAAAAAAAGAAGGAATTAAATGTAAATAAAAAAATAAATTGTACATACGCACACTAAAAACACGTAAAACAATCATTGCGCATGCCCATTAAATTACTTAAGCGCAGATCTAATTTTCTTTCTTTTGTACCACTGTTTTCTAAAATTTTCACTGAAGATGCTTCTTACAAAACGAATTGAAAACACACGTCTTGGAATAGATCGCGGTTGCGCAATGCGCAGAGTCCACTTTTTTGTTTGAGGAAATGGTTAAAAGCATTGATAGACTAAAATAAAATGGGATTTGTTGGAAACCATGGTTAACCCCTTGAGGTCATTATCTATTGACCACTTTTAGAAAAAAAAATAGAATGCGAATGCGCAAACCCAACTTTCGTATTGACGAGCGATAGCGAGCACCATTCACAATTACGTTCCGGCCATCATCATTTTTGAAAAAATAAGGATTTATGACTCCACCAGCCCATCAACCAGACCAGACCTTTGTTTTCGCGACCCTTTTTAAGTGACTACAGTTTTTTTTAATGATAACAAAGGTTTATAATCAGAAAAATAATAAAAGCAGTTAGTAAAATAATCAGCAAGAATTAAAAGAACGCATAATGGACGAGGAAAACACGAAAGCGCATAAGTCACTTAATACAAAATTATCATCAAAAAACAAAAATTGGGGTACGCTTGTACCCTTCTTCGTAGCAGGAAGGTTAAGTATGATTTTTTATACGTACGTCAAATATGACATTTCTCTTATCATATTTAAACAGCGAAGTACTGTTTCGTTGCTAGGAGCAGAGAAGCAGAAAAGAGGCAGAGAAATTTTACTTCCTTGCCCCTTTTTCGCTTCTCTGCTTTTTTTGATTTCTATATCTCGGAATTTTCGTACTTGTCAGCGAAAACTCACTTCTCGTCCTTGGTAACCAATATATTATTGTCCGATTTCTTGCTTCGGCTTCGTTTATTTCGAAAATTCGATTCAATTAACGGGATGCCTCTAGTATACCGGCAATGGGGTTGAATATGTTAAACCATGATAACGGGAGAAAATGAGATGTTTAACCACAATTGGACTGATGGAAAACATTCTTGCCGCAATATTACCGCCAACGCCATCAGTTCACCATAACTAGGCCGTTGCTCATGTGTTTGTTGCGTTTGTTCCATTGCCCTTTTTAATTGTTTTAACCTTTCTGCTCCTATTGAGGTTGTAACGTTCCATGTCCCTATTCTCAATCTGCTTTTTTCACTTGTCTCCGAATACTGTCTCTCTCGGAGACCTGAATAGGAAACTATATTAACTCCGGAGCATTCGAGGAATCCATACTAAATAATAATGTATACGCGTCCATCGCTTTCTTCCAGGATAATTTCACTAGGGTCTCTAATGGGATGGTTTCCCGTTGTTTTCTCTCTCCTGATGCCGTTGGTCTTAAATAGACTTCGCTTTTGGGACCATTTTACAAGGCCCGGGATGACTGCTACCCGCTCATCCGCCACTGAAGGGACTGTTGGCGCTTGGTAGAGGGGTGGCTTCTTATTCCAGAAGTCCCTCGGCCGACTTATTCTCGCCAGTGAAAACGTGAAGGGTTTGTGTGAGATGCATCTCACCCCTTAGAACCCTTATAACTCTTGTAGTAGATTTAATATTTTTGCTTCCCCTATGTTTAAGGGGTTTTGAAACAACCTTCGCACTGCGTGTATACACTTACCTATACAGATCTCACACCTCGCGATTTTGAAATTACGAATTTTAACAATGAGCAAAATTTACATAATTTACCTTGCGATTTTATATATAATGACATAACACAAGAACGCAAATCTTAGGGGTGGTTTTCAAATGGAACATTGTGGACGGATATAAGAAAAGATATTTGGTGTAGGTACGTCATCCATGCAATGGACGATTGCTACACATATAACTGTGATTTTTCTAAAAAAAAATACCTACGTAATTTGTTTAAAACGAAGAGGATCTTTATACTATGATAATATGTTGATAATAATCTAGTAGTCAACGTGTTTTATAGTTCTAACTTCTACTCCGTCTTAATTCATACATGGACTACGGTTGAGTGTTATGGTATTTACCGATATGGTGCATCCCTTGGCATAATGTCGTTCACTCATCATTTAGCTCATTTTTAGCGTATTTTTGGCAACTTTCTTATTTATGAAAGCAGTTAAATGAAATATCATATGTATAAAGGCACTTCGAATGAAACTAAAACTAATACCGGTTTCAAAATTACTGTTTACGCATGCTGTATGTTTTATTTATGAAGGTATTCAACGAAATTTCTAATGTAGACAATGCGCAATGCTATTTACGAAAGCATTAAAAAAAAGTTTGATATGTAGTCACTTCGAATAAAAGTAAAACTAATGCCCATTTCAAAATTTGTTTATATTTGTATACGCTCCACTATTTTTCATTAAACTGTATATACACTTCGATGATAGACGGCTAGGTTGAAAGAGAATGGGGTAAGGATCTCGTGTCTACCGGTATATTTTCCCGGTCCTTTAATAGGAAAATAGGCTCTCGTCATTTATGTTTGCATAATGACTTTTTGACTTGTTCTACTTTTAACCAATCTCATACCTCATAATATAATCTCTTGGTGGCATTTCAATACTTCCCTTCCTTGACCTTGACGTATGTTAATTTCACGAACAGCGTAATTACACAAACAATTTGCCTCGCAATTTGCTTAACTTATTCTGTTGAACAAATTCAAAAACTACTCTAGAGAATGAATGCTTTGCATAATATGGGAATATGTTGATTTGGGTATAATGATTAACGTAAATTGCCACCGCTACTAGTGTAGTGCCTACATGTAATTGGCGATATCAATATTTCGAATACATAGCGCCGAACTTGCATAAATACAAAGTTTAGGCACACTGCATTAAATATTTTAACATGAAGTACTGTATTGTGCACAGTATGCGACCCAGTGTAAATGTTTTTATAATGTTGTGCGCTATAATGAGTTCAGTAGAGTTGAAGGTAGTATATATGTTTGTTTTTGTTTACCTAAACCCATTTTACTTAAAGCTACCGCCAGAAGTAATAGTTGATTGGGAAAGCTACCACTTTCAATATTTTGACATTTGTGTAAATGAAACTGGTGTGGACCCTATGATCCCAAGAATGATGTTTAGGCAAGTCAATCTTCCCGATGAAGAGAGCTTTCACTGCTATATGAAATGCACTTTTAAATACCACAATATGTTGACGCCCGATGAAAAGGATATTGATTATGAAGCCTATGCTAAAGATGTTCACTTGACGCCAGAAATACTGAAAATGTGTAGGGAATTTGTTGCGTCTGAATCGGAAATATGCAGAAAAACTTACCTCATTACTAAGTGCTCAGTAGAGAACAAAGTCATCTCCAGTGGCCGATAAGTAACATTAGTTGCACTTGTACTTGTGCTTCACTTCTAATTGTTCTATTAGCAATAGCACAGCATTCAAGAAATATCAAATATAATTTTTCTTTTATTGCTCTTAGTTTAAGTGGAATGGGGTTTTATTTGAAACTGCTCTCCCAAAAGGAACCCCATTATAAACTTCCTTTATAAAGCCAGCGCAAACACTTATTTCCTATATCTTCTATAGTTCTCTAGTTTGAAACAAGGCATGGAAGCATGACTAGCAAAGCGCGAATCATGTGCGAAGAACCAGCAACACCTTAGCAATCCTAATTTTGTTTGCGTTCGTAGAAAAAAGTGTCATCGATACACTGTGTAAGATAAGGATGTCTATAATGGAGATCTCTAAAACCATAGAAGATACAACGATGTGCAAATTTTTTGTATTATCGCAAGACTACGACATTGTGATCGAGTGTACCATCCTATTGAAACCCAAAGTTTCCAAGTCCACAAGATCTTATTCATGGTCGAGTCAAAACTGGTGAATAGAATACTTGATCGGTCACACAAAAAATGCCCTGAAGTCCCTTCGATCTCACACAAGCACTTTGATAATATTTGATTGGTTACTTCACAAAATCCCATTAAGTATGTTTTTTTTTATACGTAAATGTGTCATTTCGCTTATTATACCGACTAAAACAGCGATGTATTGTTTCGCTGCTACGAGCAGAGAAGCGGAAACGAGGCAGAGAAGCGGAAAAGAGAGAGAGAAATTTTACTTTTCTGCCTCTTTTCCGCTTCTCTGCTTTTTTGATTTTTATATCACGGAATTTTCGTATTTGTCAGGGAAAACCCACTTCTCGTCGTTGGTAAATAATATACTATTTTCCAATCTCTTCCTTCGACCCCCCCTTACGATCACTTGCGTCTCATTTCTTATGTAGCGTTTATAGATTAATGGTTGTGTATTATACTTACCAGTGATTCATTTGCTATTCTCTGTCGCATAGATAATCTTGCGATAAAATAATCAAAAATCGCTGACGGTCACAAATAAAAACATATCACCTACGCTACGTCATGACACGATATTTGCGCTTTGCGAAATGACGCTTCGTATATTTCGAAAAATTCAATTAACGGGATGCCTATTATAGTATATCGACAATGTGGTTGAATATGTTAAACCATGATAACGGGAGAAAATGAGATATTTAACCACAATTTGACAGATGCAGTAAATTCTTGCCGTAATATTACCGCCAACGCCATCAGTTAACCATTCCTAGGCCGTTGCTCATGTGTTTGTTGGGTTTGTTGCATTGCCCGTTTTAATTGTCAACTTTTCTGCTCCTATTGGGGTTCTAACGTTCCATGTCCCTATTCTCAATCTGCTTTTTCCACTTGTCCCCGGATACTGTCTCCCCCGGAGACCTGAATAGGAAACTATATTTAACTCCGGAGCATTCGAGGAATCCATAACTAAATATTAATGTGTACTCGTCCATCACTTTCTTCCAGCGAAATTCCACTAGGGTCTCTAATGGAGTGGTTTCCCGTTGCTTTCTCCATCCTGATGCAGTTGGTCTTAAATAGACTTCGCTTTTGGGACTATTTTACAAGTCCCGGCATAACAGACTGCTACCCGCTTATCCGCCCACTGAAGGGACTCTTGGCGCTTCTTATTCCGGAAGTCCCTCGGTCGACATATCCTCGCCAGTGAAAACAGGTTGTATCACGTGAAGGGCTGAGTGAGGTGCCTTAGAACTCTTATAACTCTTGTAGTAGATTTAATATTTTTGCTTCCCTTACTGACTATGTTTAATAGTGCAGGCGCTGGATGGATTTGAGTGTGCAAAAACCGAGGACCGCATGCTGCCAATTGATCCCAGTTCAGAAAAGCTTGTAGATTAATAATTCGGGTGTTTCCGGAACACCTCTTGGTCCAATTTTGTGTTATACCCCCTCCTCTTGCGCCGAGAGCAAGTTGCCTGAGTGCATGTTATATTTCTATCCTGATGATAATTTTGTGACAATTATTGTTTTTTTAATGATTAATGATTAATTAAAAGTTGGCAAATGAAATTAAAACAGAAATGCTGAATAAAGAATTCATAAATTAAATAGGTACATGAGAAAAATCAATAATCTTCCAAAAATGCAAATATATCGATATGTTTGTGACGATGTATTACAATGTGAAATTGTTTTTTACTAAATAAACATTATTATTATTATGAGAAAATGTGAAAAGAGGGTCGACATTGTCCTTGTTAGATATCATATCAAGCACTTCATATATTTGCAAAAGAAATTGCAATAACAATTATTTACACGTCAATAAAAATAATATATAAATATAACATATAAATATTACGCAAACTCACAAGTAATTACTAGGAAGACGAATATATAGCAACAACAAATATGATAATATAACTTTAAAATATAAAATTTGGACGCAGAAGGATGTTACAGGAAATTTTCAAAATGGAAACTCGCTCTCGAAATTGAAAAAAAACCACAAACACGCGACAGGGGACGTTTTAAATTTGAATACTACAAAAATTAATATTGTTAATGGAATGGCACTTGTTCATTGAATTCAATTAAAAAAAGTTCAACACCTTTGGCATTCTTCAAAAAAATCTGTAACCTTTTCTTGCAGCTAAATATAATAAAACGAATTGATGATATTGCGATAAAAACTTTAGAGTCAACTTTACGTAGTAAAGGTCAAAAGATTAAAATTTTATAATTTCACAAAAATACCAAAAATTGTAATAATTTCTTTTCCAACCCTGAAAATAAATTAGATACAGCTCGTTCGAATGCTCTGTACTGCCACTCCTAGATATACACAAATACAAGAAGATCGCGACCTATATATCTGTGGAGGATTTGATGATCCAACGAAATGTTTCACGCCTCTTCATAATTTGAAGTACCTGACTTGAATTCGAACAATTTAGAAGCCGATTCTGGGATGTTTTATAACATATTTCACGCAGTAAAAATCCAACCTGCTCACATCATAATCCTTAGCCTGATACAGATGGTTTCATCCTAGAAATCTATTTCTGGAAGAAGCTAGCTCGAGTAGGTTGTTTAGGTGTATGGTTTGAATGATCTTATGACTTATATAAGAGGAAATACATTTCAGGATGTCATTTGGCTGCTCAATCCCTTGGCGAAAACATTTGTCGTATTTTGCCATCGTTACACTGTGTGATTCAACTAGCAGATTGGGTTCGAAATAGTTTACAAGCTGCATCGTTGAATTTTGTACAAAAAGCTCTTTTGCTTTTTTGATAACTTATGTTAACATTTGCTTTTTCGTATAAAATAATTTTTTTGGTCAACAGTTCTTGTTTTTATTTCAATTATTTTATATTGTTGTAACAATTGACTAGCTATGTTAATCTTTAAACATAAGAAACAATTGGGTATTGTCATTAAAATAGTGCCAAAGCATAATTTGTTCAGGCTATTTACTTGATATCTAAAGAGGTGGGGTATAAGAAATAATTGGACCAACAAAACTGCTGGCAACATCCAGAATTATATTCTGCAAGCTTTTCAGAGTTCAAAACTGTTTACAGAATGCGGTCCTCATATTTTGCACACTCAAGTCTATCTAGCGCCCGGTCTATAAAGGATTTTGAAACAACCTTCTCACCGCGTGTATATATATATGTACTTGTACAGATCTCACACCTCGCGATTTTGAAATTACGAATTTTAACAATGAGCAAAATTTACATAATTTACCTTGCAATTTTATATTTTTGTTTGTGTTTTTTTTTATTGTGCTGAGAGACAGTACAGTCTTTCACACTTGTCAGGGTATATATAATGACCCAATACAAGAATGCAAATCTTTTAGGGTTGGTTTTCAAATGGAACATTTTGAACTTGGATGGATAAGAAAAGATATTTGGTGTAGGTACGTCATCCATGCAAAGGACGATTGCTACACATATAAATGTGATTTTTCTAAGAAAATTGCGTAATTTGTTTAAAACGAAGAGGATCTTTATACTATGTTAATATGTTGATAATAATCTAGTAGTTCACGGTTTTTATGATTCTAACCTCCGTCTTAATTCATACATGGACTACGGTTTAGTGTTACAGTATTTACCGATATGGTAACTTGGCGAATCCCTGGGCATAATGTCGTTCACTCATCATTTAGCTCATTTTTAGCGTATTTTCCTCAAAGTGAAAAATCGCTATTGGCTGCACTTTGTCGTCCGTCCGTCCGTCACACGTACTCCTTCTACACCACTGAATCGATTTGGGCGATATAGGGCTCATTTGAAAGGGCTTAGTCCAAGGGTTCCGTGCATACCGATATTTTTTGGTTTTGCGCATGCGCCGTGTCAAAAATTTGGTTTAACGCATGTGCAATGCTAACTTTTTTATTTATGAAGATATTTAAATGAAATTTTATACATAGGCATTTGGAATACAAGCAAATCTAACACCAGTTTTAAAATTTTGTTTTACGCATGCGCAATGGCAACTTTCTGATTTATGAAAGCAGTTAAATGAAATATCATATGTATAGGCACTTTGAATGAAACTATAAAACTAATACCGGTTTCAAAATTACTGTTTACGTATGCTGTATGTTTTATTTATGCAGGTATTCAATGAAATTTCTAATGTAGACAATGCGCAATGCTGTTTACGAAAGCATTAAAAAAAAGTTTTATATGTAGACACTTCGAATAAAAGTAAAATATATTTGTATACGCTCCACTATTTATCATTAAACTCTATACACTTCGACGATAGACGGCTAGGTTGAAAGAGAATGGGGTAAGGATGTCGTGCCTACCGGTATTTTTTCCCGGTACTTTAATATTATTAGGAGGAAAATACGCTCTCGTAATTTATGTTTGCATAATGACTTTTTGAGTTGCTTTACTTTTAACCAATCTCATACCTCATAGTATAATCTCTTAGTGGCATTTCAATACTTTCCTTCCTTGACTTTGACGTATGTTAGTTTCACAAATAGCTTAATTACACAAACAATTTGCTTAATTTATTCTGTTGAACAACTTCAAAAACTACTCTAAATAATGAATGCTTTGCATAATATTGGAATATGTTGC